GAAATCTCGAATTATTATCATATTTGATAATTTTTCGTCGCTGATTCGGTTTCTGTGTGGATCGCATAAGCTGTGAGTAAATTGACTGAACACTCTCTCGACTGAAACTGATGACATTGGTGGAGACAAAAATGCTCTTGCGAGCTTGTGTAGATGTGGCATATGTTCTTTATTCGATCTCCAGAATTCAGCAACTTTTTGGATATTTCCACCACTTGGCAAGGGGTGATTCCTGACAAGAGTCCGGTAGTACTGTATTTCATGCTGAAAGAAGGGAAAGACATGGAATAGCTGAATGGCGTATTTTTCCTTCAAAACAAACGTAATAATCAATGATATACCGCCAACATATACGGAACATTAAAAGAACTAACATTGATTTTATCGCACAGTGATGCTGAATTGTTACAATCCGATGGTGTCGAATCGAAGATGGAACGCAAAGACTCATTCTCACGAGTGCCAATGTCCGTTGTTGAAGCTGGCTGGATCAAAATATTCTCGTCATCCGACGATTCATCATCAATTGATAGAAGTGATTCACCTAAAGCAATTCAGTGTAAGCGAGCAACCACGCGACAACAAAACAAGAATACGAATGGATAATATACCGTTTTTGAGCACGTGATCTGCGGCAGCCTCCCAAACCAGATTTGCGAGTATTCCCTCGCGGTCGACGAATCGTGGATCGAGAAATGATGCGCATAATAATAATTTGTCGTTGGGAATATCAGTTGCGCCTTCCGTCGCTCCCAAGAAGCGCTCATCCAAACATTTCACACCTCGTTTGATCACACCTTCTATGAAACGGACGTCTTCAGGTGGATGATCGGGGAAGCGCGGATCCCTCGCCAATAGCGATTCCAGTCGAGTTCTGAGAGCTATAATGTTTGGTATTATAGCGAAGACACTTTCTTCTGATGACGACGCCTGCAAGTACAGAAGCAATGGGTGTCGGCAATATAGGGAAGCGATGAGTATCAGAAGATGCATTGAAAATTGAAACTGCATTGAATTGAAAGATGCATTGAAAATATACGAAGCTAATTTGAAGAATTACCTCTTTCGTCAATGATTCGAAGTTGCTGAGTAGCGATGTACATTGCTCAGCAACATGAACTTCGCGCTTCACCAACGGCTTCCAACTGCTGTTGTTACGCTGATTGGCATTTAGCCCTTCAAATACTTTATCGATCGCTTCATTGTTTTTCACCACTGACAACAGCATTGCGAGCGTTGATCCCCATCTTGTCGGAACGTCTGTAATTATTCATCTTTTGATCGAAATGATGAATGTAGAAAGCGATCAAAAATTTATATACATATCCGTGACATGCAACGACAAAACACTATCATTTCAAATTATAACTACCGGAAACGATTAATCAGAAACGAATAATTTTGCTTGTAATTACCAGCGATTAAACGAGTCTTCACCGTCCCGAGTTGATCATGCGCCTGTGACAAAGAATTTTGGAGGATGAGACTGTTTGAAAAAGATGTAACTATTCGTTTGCAGTTCTGCAACATCGAAGCAACGGTATCGTCGGCTTGTAACATACTTTTTACGACCAGATGCAAACTGTGAGCTACGCAACAGTGCCTGTAAAAGCAAACAATGCTATGGGAGTACAGCGCGAATTGACTTCATGCACTTCCCAGCATAATTTTATGACGAAAGCAAGAAGACACAAATAGAATCACCACCTACCAAGACATGTGCATATCCCTAACGGCTTTCTTCATTGCTGTTGCGCCATCGGTTACGGCCGCAATAATTTTGTTATTGTTTAAGCTGTTTTCGCTTAACATTTTCTGCACCTTCAATCCGATATTGTCAGCTGTATGGCGAACATCCAGCACAGATGTCGCTCCAAGTATGGTTTCGAACCTCTTGAAATCTGCATCCCATACATGGATCGTTACTCTGGAAACAGATGGATGAATTATGTGGCCATGAAAACATTTCCATACATACATTATGAAGTATAAGATAAACAAAGAACTCACGCTAAGAAGCATCTTCCTTGAGAGGGTTGCGAGTACTCGTCAATTGCGATAGAATAAAAATCATCTTTTATGCTCTCCAAAAATCGATTCCTTATTACGTGAACACGTTCCGCCAAGGACGGAAACAAACTACGACGAATGGTCGATTCAGACGGCACCTTCAATATTATTTATTCATGTCAAAAGAGGCAACTCATTCATCACAAAAAACACAACTTATCTAAAATAGTTTAAGGAATAACGCAAATCTGGTTAAAAATACCTCATAACTTGATACTTTCTTCAAGAGCTTCTTCAAATACTCATTTCTCACGATCGAAAACGGCACGCCAGACGATACCACGAACTTCACCAACTCCATGTCTGCTTCCCTTTTCTTGTCTCCACTGATACAATATTTATCATTCCCAATATATTGGTCCATAGCCCTCTGATCTGCAAGGAATGTTTTACTGATAGCATTCGAATTCCTTCCCCTGTGGATACCGCCTATGCATAATGTTGATCTTTCACATTACCTGTTACCTAGAAAAGTTCATTTAACTTATATGGTTGACTTACTTTTGTCGCAGACTTTCACCTTTCGTTTCTTTTTCTCTGGTATTTCGTCCTTTGTCTCGGGGTGCTTCATTCTGAGGTGGTCAAGCAATCCTTTCGTAGACGAATTCTTGAACGATAATTGCGCATTGCATAAAATGCAAACTCGTTTTGACGATTCCTCGCCCTCACCAGTCGCTATTTTAAAAAATCGCCAAACGACGCTTCCACTTGTCGATTGCTCCATGCAGGCTTAAAAAGAGAAAAAAGAGGTGAGAATATTCANGGTAAGAACATTGCAAACTATCGAAAGGTAGGAGAACAATACTCAAAACTCCATGAATAGAAAACACTTTTGAAAAAACATTTTGCATAACTTCACGTGATGGTCGTGATAATTGCGACAAAGAGAAAATAAATTGAAACATCTTCGTACACTACTGTTCTAATATATGATAATCACAACAAAAACACGCTTTTGACCCGAATACTTGAACACTATAACCCATCAAACAAAATAACCCAGCAAACATATATTTCGCAATCACATCACCCAACAGTCGAAGAAGAAAGACTAACGACTTCATGTGGATGGCTTGCCAAACACCTTGTAATCACATCACAAAAGAAACAACAACATTTGAAGTGTTGCAGCGATA